GGACTGAAGGCATCTGAAGATCCAAGTCAGACACAGATCTATGTCCACAGATTTGGTCAAATTATTCGGATTTCTTGAACAACACTATTCCCCTCATAGAGTCATTTGGAAGACTCAATCACATAGAAATTGGAGAGGGCCTCATAAAGGGCCAAGTGCACAGTACCTCCCAACAAGATGTGGGAGCAGGCCTGGTTTCAAACCTCCAGGCTGAGGCCTCCAGGTATGTGGATGTTAACAGAACTGAGTTTTGCACACTCTTGAGTGACATGCCAACCTCCTATCAAGGTACTAGCACTCCAGTCCTGCACAGGTTCCAATACAATCTCAAATGCCCCCTTGTGACATAGTTATCTCTGGTCCCTAGGATAAACCCTACTTTTTTGCATATGTAGGCTGTGGATCATCACAGACCCTGCCTCCCATGGGGATGGGTGACTCTAAGGGCCTCCAGAGGAGACACTGGCCTGAGGAGATTTCTAGATGTGAAGCTGAGGCTATCTGAGTAAACTGAGAAAGACCCTGAGCTTGGAAAAGACCTGTTTGAATTTAGGACCAGGGGTTAAGTCTGGGGAAAATCACTTGCTGAGCCTAGGCCTCAGTTTCTTTATCTATAAAGTGAAGGGGCCTTTGTATGTACACCTTGCCTTGAACTCTGAGAGTCAAAAGCACTTGGCATAGGGATGTACTCTTCTGAGGAAAGGCCTATCCTCAAGTTCTGTCTACACATCAAGACTGACTGCAAGACTGTTCTAAGTACAGACAAGGGGGAATCTCAGCTTCCAATATCCTGACAAAAGGAACAAAGTGAATGTCTGTGCCTGAGGAGCCTGGGTCCAGTTCAACACTTCACCTTACTCAGAGTGAGGAGAGCCCACCACACAGGGACATTTTGAGATCAGAACGAGAGTGCACTCAGTGCCCGGCTCACTGGCCAGAGTACACCAAGCATCTCTGTCTGTAGGGCTCCCAGTCCTTTCTTCTTTCTGCTTTTAACAGAGTACTTGGTCTCTTCCCTTCTCTTTGCATGCAGGTCAAACCAGAGTTCTAGCATAAAAAGCTAACCTCTGGAGCAGACCAGCAAATGCTTGGGTCTAAACCAAAGCCCAGGTGCAAAACTTGAGCTGAGACTTTGTCTGGATTGCCTGGCTCAGCCTCAACACAGTGCCACTGTGGAGCCTCCTGGCTGCACTGAGGGCAACAGGGACAGGATGGTGCCAGGGAAGGCTTCTGGACCTGATTTACCTACCAATCCATTTCCTGAGCATCTTAGTAATGACACTGCCCAAGCTTTATCACTGGAGTGGATGACATCTGTGGACCCCAGCAGGAAGGCATATAACCCAAAGGGCATTGAAGGGACAGAGGGAACACATCACATGGGTCTTGTCTTCTTTTTCAAAATGACTTTTTAAAAAAATAAAGACAAGTGTCTACAGAACTTTGTGCTAGCATGCAGGGCAAGGTATTCCTCCTCCCCACCTTCCAGCCAGGAGAAGCTCATTCTGTACCTCAAAGCAAAGTAGTTCTGCCACTTCTTCAGCCCCTATCTGCACCCTTGACACATCAGGCCACTGCACAACGGCATTGCAGAAGCATCTGCCAGTGTTCCTCATCCTCAAGGGAAGGGCACAGAAACTCATAGCAATCCGGGACATATTGTCATTTATTAGCAATAAATGACATTCACCTATTCAGTAGGGGCCTAAACAAATAAACAAATAAACAAATGAATAAATAAATACATACTCTAGAAATAATTTAGCTAGAGAATGGAAAGATCAGTGCTGTGAAAACTATAAAAACTGGATTAAAGAAAATTTCAAATGTCAAGGACACAAATGAATAGAAATGTATCCCATAACTAATTAGAAGTGGTATTGATAAATGAGCTGTGGATGAAAATTATTCTTTCAAGCATCTGAAAAACCTGGAAAAAGAAATTAAGTCAGCTTAGAGATGAAGATTTTCCCTTCTGACTATGCCAACTCTAGACGTGATGGCAAGAGCTTCTGCTACCTTTTTTGTTGATGGAACAGCCCTGAAGATGAAGGACGCAGTATGATGATGAGGTGGACAGACATAATAGCCCTGTATGAGATCTCACGTGTGAGAGGAGAGTAAACTTCTTTGGGTAAGCTGGTATAATATTGGGTTTAGTTTTTGCTTATAGGTAAACCAGGTTATCACTGTTACCAAGGAAGAAGAAAGCTAAAAGAATGAATACTTTTCTTCATGTTTTGGCTCCTTTCACAACTGGCCTACTTTTAGTATCTTCAGGTATGTTTTTCAGAAAATTTTATCAAAAATTTTTGCTAAAATTAATGTAAAGAATGGATTATATCATAGTAGAACTGTACATGTTTTAAAGTTTACATTTTAAAACCAGAATTTTTGTAACTCCTTTTTATTTATTTCATATATATCATGTTTATATTACATATGGTGTTATACTAATACTTAAAGTGTTGGTGATCAAATTTTTTTCATTGACTTTTACTAAAAGTTAATTGTGAAATGTTGTAAAATTAAAAAAATTCACTCATATATAGGCACACAATTAAAATCTAAAGCATTTTTATTGCATTGTATTTTTTTAATTCGGTAAATTTTAATAAATGAACTTCTACTTTAATGCCACACCATACATAAAATTAACTCTAAAATGCATCATTAATATAAACATAAAAACCAAGAACCACAATAAACTTCTGGTGAAAACTATAATCGAAAAAATAAATCACTACTATCTTAGAGTGGCAAGGATTATTTAGGACGAGAAAACTACAAACCCCATAAGAAAAATAAGGCTGAATTAGACCTTATTAAAGGTTATAACATCTGCTTTTCAAAATATACTTTTGAGAAAATGAAAAGTTAAGATACATCTGACTAACCACTTTGAAGATAACAATATGTAATACAGGGAATTGTTGAGATGGATTTTCACTTTCTACTACTATGAGCTGGAGCACTATCACCAGGTATTTGAATCATACATTTGCTAAATTTGAAATTCAGTGGATTTAAAGGAAAAGTTGCCTTGCCACCACATGTATGTTGGAGGGCTGGCTTTACTGTCTTATTTGTCACTGGTCACCATCTCTCTTTAAAGATCCAACTTAATGTACCCTAAATTTGCACTACCAGTCTGCTGCTGTGATAATCAGATGCTAAAAATCCTGTGGCTTGTCTTTTTAGATCAAAGGAACGTGCAATATTTCAGTTATGACTGAAGACCTCAAGGCAGGAGGGCTTTTAGTTTGCTTAATATTCTAGTTTTAGATAATTCTTCATATTTAGGCTTTCGGTTTACACTTATTTTTGTAAATGATCCTAGGTATTTACATGAATATTTGCCTTAATTTATTGGAGATCTACAGTATGAGGTTTTCACACTGACTAGCCATTTGTAGCATCTACTGCAATAATATCTACACGATACATGCTTAGGAACAACATACTCAGACTCACATCACACAAACTCTGTTGCAGAAAAAAATGTTTCATAAGAAACTCTGAATTTCACATGTATATGTATTCTATTTCCCCTAACATTCTATAATAACATTAAACATGGGGTCATGATTCTCATTCCATTTTTCAAAATGGAAATAACAATATTTGATATTTTAATTACAACCATTTAAAAAGATACAAGAATGGTTGATAATATTAATTCTGAAATAAATATAAAGAATTGAAGATTTCAATTTATGTCATATTCTGCCTACAACTGTCTAGCTCCATTCTTGTATTTGGTGTGTATAAATTTAGCAAGGAAATAGGTAATTGAACTTGTTACCTTTCTGTTGTTATTTACTGATATGACAGATTAAAACTGGAGAACTAACACTGTAATAATTTTATTTTCCAGAATTTGTGGAGATTTTTTCCAATCCCATACAAGGCCAAGTTGACATACTTATAAAAACTTATTTATATTCTCTGGACCATTAGTCTACACACAAACTATTTAATAAGGTATTACAATCATTAAATTGTTTATCCAAGTTCATGTTCTCTTTTTCAGTTTACTTTTTAAGTTCTTTGAGGTGTAACTGAAATAAAATAAATTGTATATATGAAAACATGAAAACTGATAATAACATATAGAACAAATATAAAACTATAACCACAGCTAACTTCCAAATTTTCTTTTTTTTAGTTACTATGTTATTTTTGTTGGTACATGTTTGCAGTACATGACTGCATTGCTCATGGGGTGTTGGTACATGTACACAACACATCTTGATTCTTTTCTTTCACTTCACCTCCCTTTCTTTCTCATTCAACTATCTTTGACCCCTTTCATTTTGCAAAATATATATCTCCCATTTTCTATCATCTATCTTTTAATTTACTTTTAAGTTATTTATGCTTTAAATAATGCTATCTTTTTGTTTCTTCTCATCCTTTTGGGCAATTTTTAGAAAACCAGTGATTCACATCCTGTTCTTTAGAGTTGGAAACTACAGGATAATTCTAGTTCTTTTTTTCCTTTCTAGATTACTTTTAATCCTAATACAATGCAAATAGTTGTTATACTGATTAGGGAACAATGACAAAAATGTATGCAGAACAAGTGCACTTTTTTCAAATATTTTTGATCCAACTTTGGTTGAATCCACACGGGCGGAATCTGTAGATCTGGGGACTAACTGTAGATAATCTCAGCAAAGTGATGTCACAGCGAGTACTTTTAAAGACCCCCACAGCAAGAGCTGAGAACCTTCCTAAACTCTTTATGTGAATAAGCTCATTTCTGCTTACAATACAAATATGCCAATTTTATGGATAAATGTATGAAATAGGTTTGGAATTAGAGGCCTGTGTTCCCTCCAAAGACTGTACTATTATGTTATCTGGGGTATAGTTCTCAACCACACATATTAAAGTAAATATATTTAACAGTCAAAGCATTCTGCCATATATTTCAATAATTCAACAAAAACTCAAAACACATGGTCATCTTCAGCACGAATATCCATCAATGAAAATTAAACATTTACTGACCTTCCCCACATAGATACTAAGCCCTTGATCATCCGTTTTTCAGTACTGATTAGCACCAAGGGGCTGAAGGTAGCATAGCCATTGCCCAAGAACATTTGGATGCGATAATGAATGGAGTCATTCTTCCATAGCATTCCAGAAGTAGAGGCAATAACACAATCCAAAAAATACATGGTCATAAAGAAACTCATGAGCAACAGAATGGTCTGGGTGGCCCTTTGTTCTGGAGATGCTTTTGGAGACTGGCTGGTGCTGTGAAGATGCTGGGACTCCCTTTTATGCCTGCATAAGAGACTCACCATGTACACACTTGAGAGTGCCATGACCCCTATAAAGGACACATCCCTGAAGGTCACCAGTGAGAAATATATGTACTTGACTAAGTAACTGATGGGCCAAAGAGAGCAGGATTCAGTGACAAACATAAGACTCTGTGAGGACACATTAGGGGTGGCAATAGTGGAGATTAAGAAACGACTACTGATGATCATATTGAAAACCCATAAAAAGAGAAAGCAACACAGGTTCTGATGCAGGGATGTCTGTTTGAACTTTGTCAGATAGGAGCTTCTTGGGCTGAGGGTGATGGCCTGGAGCACACTTAGCAGGCAGGTGGTACAGATGGAGAGGCCCCTCATCAATCTGTACAGATAGAGAACACATTTACATGTGATGTCATTCCATAAATCTGGAAAACCAACAATATCTACAGCTATGACACCCACAATTAGGAGCATCACTATGTGGATAAGGGCCAAGTGACCAATGATCAGATCAGTGGACTTGGGCTTGTGCTGCAGAAGGAATGTGAGGACATGAAAGAGAAGCAGGACAGTATTTGCCGTGATCCCAAGGCTGACTTGAAAGAAAAACATATTTTGTATGACAGCAAAACTGGAAAATCTGGTGCTTTTCTTTATCTCCATGGTGGAAGAAGTACATAGAAGATATCTGAGGAAAAAGTACAGAAAATTCTTTATCAGAAATCTTGCTTCCTTCGTTAATTACAGCCAACACCACTCCTTCATCACAACATGTAGATTCATCCCACTGTGTCCCGTTCTCAATTCCCTACCCAAGTCCAGCCACACCCTTCTGGACACTACACAGCTTTCTCCCATGGCTCAACTCTTTTCTCCCCAGGCTTCAAGTGGGGTCCCACATTATCTCTGAAATAGAACTTTCATATTATGGGTGGTATTTTCATATTTTGTGTCACTTTTAGATTAAAAAGCTTGGTCAAGAGTCTTATTCACCTTTGTATTTGTAGTCACATATTCACCAAATTAAGATTCTTTTTTCCCCCCATGATGTGTCCAGGATAAAGAACAGAGCATTTTAATATGGTTATGTGGCTGTGTCTGAGCTTTGTGGATAGCATACTGTCATAATATACAGGGCCCTAAATGATTGTGTATTTCATGTATTTATAAATCATGTATACCTTTTTCCTATAAATATATTTTATGAAAGTTTAAAATATTTCCTGATAATATTATATACATATTCATTGACATAATAATATTTAAAGGTGGTATTTTATCACAAATTATAATATGAATTACAAAACTGTCTTCTCATATGAGACCTCTGAAACTCAACATGTAGATTATTTTTGCTTCAAATAGTTGAGCCTTAACCAATACATAAGATTATAAAACTGGTCAAGGAGAATAAGCAAATCATTTATAAATGGAGGGGAGATTACATTATTTTCAGCATATTTAGGGGAACCGTGGCCTTATGAAGACAAATGACTATGTCATGACAGATATGTACCCATGCCATAGACTTGCATAATATTGAGGGTTTCATGGGAACAGTGGCTTATTTTCTAAAAGTGATAAGTCTTGTTTGGAGAATAAAAGTTGATATTCATTCTTCAGAGCATCAGTCTAGGAAATTGATACAATTTGATGCAGTAACAATCACTCAATTACATCCCATAGAGCACTCTGAGAAATGACAGAAAATATTACTACCCCAGCAATATCCAAATACTGTATTATGGATCACACACATATGCATTAGTGAAATGCAAAAGCATATATCAAATGTCTTCACAATATATTTGTATATAATTGATATAAAGAAAGGTATATAGAACATATCACTTTATAAGAAAATATATTATAAAGAATATGAGGAGATTTAGGGAAAAAAAGCTAAAAGAAATCCTCTAGAATGTCCTCTCCCATCCATGCCTCATCCACCTCATACCGGTCCAGCAGAGCAGAGTTGAGGGGCTCTGGGAACAGGACAGAAACTCTCTCCACCAGCTGAATGGACTATGATTCCTCCTGCAATGTGGCACAAAGGCATGACAATGTTGATAAAGCACCTGGCTGGCCTCATGTACTAAACACAAAATCTCATTTTATACACTCCAAGAAACAAGCTGCCCTCATAGAGACTTGAGGTTAGTAAATACCTGAATAAACCAAAGGAGACTAAAATGGAAAAAAGTCCTAAATCTGGTAACATTCCAAGTACCACATTGGAAAAGAGGTAGGAAAGGCCTATGGGGCAGCATAAGGAAAAACTAAATATAAATGGAGGAGTAAATGTCAAAGAAAAGTCTTTTTGGCTTGTTTCCTTTAGCAGTCTTCAAAACTCATAATGAAAAATGGGGGTACACTCACAAGAAATGGAACACAATTTATTTTCCCATTGATACCAGGATCCAAGAAGGACTCATTTGAAACATTTGTATATTTTCACACTTTGCAAGATCATGGACAATCCTCTGGTGTACCTTATCATCAAATGGTGTGGAACCAGGAAGAATGCTCAAGTTCATGAGCCCAAGGCAGTGAAGAGGACTGTAGTTAATGCAAGGAGGAGAGGCTTCTGCAGAATGCCATGCAGTTTTGAGTGCCTATGGCCTTGTAAGGGGATGGGTAACGGGGTGAAAAAAGTAAAGCAGAGAGGACACATCTTTCTCAGCTGCAATATAAGCATAATCTGCATTTTGCTCTGGGAGGAGGTGATTCATGTCCAGCACTTAATCATGTGACTTAGATACAGGAAAGAACATATCTTGGTGTCTTATTACTGAGCTGTATGAATCAGTTTCACATCATGATCTTTAGTATTGTTCTTATCTATATATGAAGATAAAAGAGAAAACTGGACCTGGGAAGTGAGACTTAGCATGCGCATTGGAGTCCATAGGTCTGAGGATATATTCCTCTACAAAATCCACTGTTTCACAGAATTGCAGTTAGACAACTAAGAAGAGTATGTGGTAGAAACAGCTGACACCTAAAAGGAAGACAAATTCATCAGCAACTGTTTGATCAGTCCTGAGAAAACAGAATTCCTGGAAAAGTAAGAATACTTCACATAAATGGCAGCAATTTCTTCCCTAACAATCTACCCCCAATTAGTGACAATTATCTATTGCTTTTGCAAATTTAAAACACTAGTATAGAGCCCAGAGTGCTTGCTTATTTTTACAGTATTTACAGTATCACGATGTTTACATGGGTTTTGAGAAAAATCAAGAGAAAGAGATCACTATTCCAAGTACAGAAACAGGAAAACCCTACTAGGCCTCTGCTAGAAATATGTAGTTGTCACTCCTCAGAAATAAAGGTTGTGTATCTGAAGGTTTCCTGCCTAACCTAGTAATGAAATAAAGATCATTTTATGGGTTTGGGAACCAATTTTCCCTTTTATTTATCATCACGTCCTGTGTAATTGATTACCAAGAAAAGAGGTTTAGTTCACATTTATCTGTTTACAACAAATGGTTAAATAATCAGTGCTGGGTGGTAGGAATCTAATACCCATGTATACTGATCAGCATAGCTGATAATATCTTGCTTTAAAAATTTCCCCTCAGGAAATGAGTTCTGTTACAGGTTTTATCAATGAAAACAAAAAGCTTTTTTAAATAATGAAATTAACTGGAGAAAATACGAATGGGCATGATCTTTCTCCTTAATAACTTCTGATTATGTTCTTAGACCATTTTTATGAAAATTTGTTCTATTTTTCTCTCAGCTCCAAATTATTGTCCTCTGATATGAGATTTCCTAACATGTAGAGCACATGATTAAGTGTTGACATCATTAAGTTAAAAATTTTTAAATTAACTGTAGAACAAGTACTTTCAGGAATGAGCTGAAGCTCTATTTATAAATAGATACTTTCAATAAAGAACACCATTTCATATTAAATAATTTAAATATTTTTAAATAACTTGAAATACAGCAGTCACTTATTTTATAACATTTAGTTTCCTTATAAAGATAAGAAAAACAGAGTAATCAATGAACACTTTATTTCTCTTTCATTAGGGGTGTAAATGCAACTTTTTTGGTCCAAAATGGCAAGATAATACCTACCTTGAGAACTGATATAGGCAGTAAATCAAGTCACTTCAGACAAAAAAAATTCAGACTTGAAAATAATTTTGTATTTTATCAAAGAATCCACAAACAATGAGTTATTTAGTTAATGCTCCAACTGCACTAACCAGACAATTTTCCACAGCATTGCAGAGTGCTCCATCCTCTGATCTGTGTGATGCCTGGAGCTGGACAGTCCATCTGAGCCCACAAAATTCCTCACTCAGAGAATCCCCTGGCTTCCTTCCATTGCAGCTTAGGACCCTGATTCTACATCCCTGGAATATAGCAGCACTGACCCAAAGAGAAGTACTGAGGGGTTTAATGGACATAAGAAGAGCAGCATAGTCTTAAGGAAAAGATGCCATTAGCTCATCCTTAGGTAGGCCTGTAATTTTAACGTCTGTAAGAAGTTGACAAGACACCACTAGAGAGCTCAGAACCATAAAGTCCCCAGTGGAACATTTTACCTGTTCCTTAAAATTTTGTTTTACTCTCTCTTAGATCATAGCCATCTGGGGAGCCATTTGGGGAGCTATGTCATAAACATTTCTCTAAATTCTCTTGACACATAAGTGTGAGGGATCAGAAGTGTCATCATCATGTTTACAAAGAAGATCTCTCTTTAATCCCAAGTTCAACTTAGTCCAAACTCACTGCTTACTTTGTAATGCTTTCTGCTCTTGGGTGGGAGACTCCTGAACTCTCCCAGGAGTTTCCAGGGGCTCTGAGTGTTCTCTACTAACTACATGTCACACGTGGCCTCTTTTCTCTAGTCTTTTCTAAGTGAAGTCTGTGTCTTCCAGGAATTACTGGTTATGTATCCTATGACTTCCAAGTTCCAAGTTTCAGGTTTGACACTGTGTTAAATTTAAACGTGCATTGTGAAGAAAAAATAAAACAAAAATGGAAAATGAGAGGCAGAGCTGGCGAATGAAGGTTGAGGCAATCACAGGCAGATGCAGCATAACTGACAATAAGGCAGAGTCCAGTTGGACTCCACTGTAAGAGGAAGCTGAATGATCATCTCTCATCCTCTTTAAGAGGTAGGAGTTGGTTTGTGCTTTTTCTGAAAGAAAATATGTGGAAATATACTTCAGTCTCACTTTATCTTATGAAAAACTATATTCAGAATTGTAAGACATGGGACAATGTGGGACCCTATGAACTACTAAAAATACAAAACAATATGCAGTCATTTAGCTATACTCATTGATATCCCAAGTATAAAAATCTGAAGACAGTACTGTAAAGTAACTATTACCAAAAATGTTAATACAGATGTAATGAAGAAGATTCACTATTTTTGAAAGAAATAGAAACTTATAAGACGTTGTTTCAAAACACAAGTGCTAAGTACATTTGTAATATCTATTATTTAAAATTTTGCCTGGATGAGACTGGAGAGGATGGAACACTACAGGAACAACCCTAGGGCAACTTCACAACAGTTCAGCAGATGTCAAAAATCATGTTGTGGGTGAAAACACGGTGTTAAATGGACATGAATTAACTACATTTTGAAAAATTCTAAATAGGAACAATTATAATTGGTGGTAGAGGATGGAATA